AGGAAGACTCTAATATATGGCGCAAATTATGATAGTAAATAGACATCTGAAGCTTTTACGTCATATACCATATCAAACAATTGCTTCAGAGAAAAATTCATTCTTTTACCAAACTTTTGCTGACCATATATGGTAATCGTACCTTTAAAGGAAGTACGTGAGAATGTTTTTTTTTCAAGTGTTTTCCAACTTTTAGTGCTTTAAAATGGCTAAAACTTACAGAATTTGCAGAGAAATTGCTTTACAACATGTCGGCCATTGTAATTTTGTCCTAGTCCCCTCCCATCCTTGAAAATAAGGAATCCCACAAAAAAAACACAGGTAGCCCGCGCGAATGTCAGGCAATTGTTTGATATGCCGTGCACGCAATGCATTGTGAGAAATGTTTAAGACAGAACAGGACAGATTTTTTTCACTACAAAAACGATCCCTCAATGCATTGCAAATCACGTAAGAGCTTCAGAAGTCTATTGAAGTATTGCATCTTATTATGCTAGAAAAATGTTGAACATTTTTGTCTGATTCATTTTCAGGGAAGGWTCTGCTCTTCTGAGAAAGATTTCCATGAGTTTTAATGCACAGCACAGCGTCGCGTAAAAAGACTATCGATTTTGTAGTCACTAAATTCCAAGCTCAGCTTGTTGTAATTATTTAATTTAATTATTCAAATWGTTAGAGAACAGATCATTTCTCTGAAATTAAACATATGATTTACAAAAAGCTATCWAGCTCAAGAGGTACTTTCAGTATAGGTCACCCTATGCATTATGTTGGGCTTCCTTTATAATAATAACCGTGAGAGACTGCAAATAGCGGTGACTGGAAACTCAATCAACCTCTCCAAAGTTTATACAGCATTTGAGTCTTTGCCTGTGAAAGTCACTTTRGTAATTACTGGAAAAGGAAGAAATTYAACTCCCCCCTTTGTGCATGTAATTTGTCCAACCTTTTGCGAAGTTCATTGCTTTATTTCATACCKTGGGAGACTGGGTACAATCCCCTGATTGACATTATGGTGAGGTAGGACTCAAAGAAAGAAAGACAAAGTCTATCAAATCTCCATATTTGGTATTGACCAGATCACTGGTAAATCACTTAACTTTTCCTTTTAGATATGTTAATATTTACGCTTAAAATGTGTGGGATTATAGATTATGTGGCCTGGTTTTTAATGTATTGTACCCAGTCTCCCATTGCATGGAATTAGAAATAGACGTGGTCTTCAATTGTAGTTTTCAGGTTTTTATTGTTATGGCAACAATGGACTATGACATGGAAACTAAGCTTTAAGGTTATCTTCAATGATTGACAATTGAAGGCAAACACTAAAAGYMTGGGAAAAAAKCGCAACAAAGTTTAGATTGGACGCTAAAAATAAATAAATRCAGTACATATTTAGCACACTTACAAATTACGTTTTCTCATGGTTTTAGTGCTTGCAYTGTTGTTCATTATACTAGTAAAGTATTACATAGTTTAATAAAATGATAAAATTAATTTATAAAATCCGAAAGATCAATAAAAGCTTAAAAATGATTCTTGAAGTGTATTGGAACAATCGGCAAATGGATTTGATTTCTATGCACTGCAGAGGCGTATCGAGACGTTGCAAAGAGGGAAGGCTAACTCTAAAAAATATCAAATGGATAGGTTTAGGGCTGCAGACATAGAAATTATTTCTTTCAGATAAATGCTGCATTAGTTGTTTTTTTAGAATCCGTCCACACTTGATGTTATACTATACTTGTTACTGGAACTGCAGAAAAATTACTGGTTACTGCAGAAAAATTACTGGTTACTGCAGAAAAATTCATGTCAGAATGATACGAACACAGATTTTCATTTAATGTTCTAGTTTTTATTCGTTTAATTCAGCTGCAATTACTGCCATGTTTTTGATGACCAGATGTATTCACGTGTCACTGATCGGTCCATTTAGAACTGAAATATCCAAATAGAAATTCATTAAAAAGCTTTTTGGTAAAAATTTCACAGCAGAGAGATCGTCAATAATTACGTTTTGGAATTAAATTGAACTATAACAAGAGGGCAATAGATGACAATCTGTCAAAATAAGCAGATACTAGTTTATAGCACGACTCGAATCGAACAAACATTTTGAGTCAGGGGTAACTCTTTTCAGGAAGCAAGTGACTCATGTCAATAGATGCCGTACAAAAACAATGCGCTTGTTACAATGAATTGTTGAATAAAATCAGAAGAAATTGAAAAAAAAGGAAAATGATAGATGCTTCACTTCTATTTCTGTTCATACTCGAAGAAAAATTCTGTTGATTGAAAAATGCTAGTATGGAATTTTATGCCATGCATACTTTTGTAAGGAAAAGAAAGATCAAGTAATCAAAACGGGCGAAAAGAAAAGAAATATAAGTAGTGTGAAAAGATTAAAGGAGATGCAATGRCTGAGCAAGAATATAGTTCACAAGCTGTTCACAGAGTTTATTTTATTTCCATCCCTATTTTAATATCGGATACATGTTACAAGGAACTGAATGAAGCGAATATACATTTTGCTTGTTCATAACTCAATAAATCAGTAATATAAGTATGCAAAAAGTACAACTACTGTTGACCTACAAACCATTGTTCTGCTGTACCGTTAGTTAATATTGTATTTTAGTTATCTTAATTGCCTCCTCGAAAATAAGGTAATTTTGATCGATCTGGCATTGCTTGCAACTCAGGTAATATAGAATTTTGTCTGTTCGGTGCTTGGCACTGAGTATGCGTTCGGCAGAATACTTTCTTCGCAGCTTGTCGAAAGTCAGGCAGAAATATTATGTATATAAGAGGACTGAAGCAGGAGTTGACTACAGTTAGAAAGGAATTTATGATATAAAACAAAGACCTCCAGTCGAWACAGGAACCGAATATCTCAACTGTTGGAATGAAGATGTCAATCGACCAAAGGGCACGGAAAGCGAATAGTGGAAGCCAGCAACATGTGTAAAGCAACACAGAGACGAGAACTATTCGTACTGCTGCTTGGGCTCGATGTGTTCGCATTTTACGCTGTTGTTCGTTTAGATGGGCATGGATGGCTTGTGGTCTGGACAGTCGTCTCATTGTTATAATACTAAGGAAGATGATTACGGAACTTAGAATACCGAAAACAATCTCTTCTGCTAAACGAACACGCAGAAAAACTTTACCTGTAGATCCAACACAAGCCACATTCGCATAGTAACCAGCAAATGGCAATGGAATTAACCAGCAGACACAGATTACCGTTATTCTTTTTATGAATGTATATTGTCTCGTTCTAACCATTGTACGTCTCGTTGCTCTTAATCGTTCAATGCTGATCACCAAAAGAGTTATTAGAGTCACTTTATATGAAATATTATTCAGGAAAACTAAAACCTCACAGATAACAGTCCCTGAATTGACGTTACGATATCTAAAACCAGTTAGACGGAAAATATAATACAATAACCACGAGAAAAGGAAAGCAGTATCTCCCACGGACATGTTGATGATCAAATGGTGCAGGTTCTTGCGTACTGTGTATTTATCAGCGAGTATGATGACGAAAACGTTAGCAAAAATCCCCAGCACAATAATCAATAAGCAGGCAGTTAGTTTGGTAATTTCCTCAAGATCAGTGTCTGGTTCCCGATACTTGCAGTAACTGTAGGTCGAACTGTTTGATGATTGGTTGGTGAGTGAGATATTTGAGTCCTCCATCCTTGTGAAGTATATCTGATCGGTATCTGTATATCGGTGAAATAATGCCAATGACACAAATATTGTTACATATTGGATTCATATATTTTTTATGTGTTTTGATTGGTTGAAAACATAATTAAGTATAATCCGCGTAATGCAATTTCAAGGTAAATAATAGTCTGCTCATGCGCAGAAGCATTTTAATTGGATGTCAGTCAAGATGGCTGTACAAGTTGTCACCAAACGCAGAAAAACAAATCCAACAATGTGTTAAAGGAAGAAGGGAAAACAATCAGAGGAACATTTCGCAAATGAGAAATTCGGTGAAGTATAACACTGAAAGAGAGATCATTTTATAGGTAATGTTTCTTCACTGATCTTCATCAAAAGTTCGAGTTCTTTATTTATCAAATCGGCTTTAATTACTGTCATTTTGAGGACTAGATGTATTCAGGTTTCGCTAATCGCTCTTTTTGCGACTAAGATATAAAATAGATATACTACATTAAAAAGCTTTAAAAAACTTTCACAGCAGAGATCGTCAGTCATTGCTGTTTTCATTTAGATTAACAATAAAAAAGAGACGAGTAGACCATAAGCTGTCAGAACATTGCAAATCGACCCAACAGATTKAAATTGAAACCATCCAATAAATTCTACTGTTGTTTAATGGATTATTGCAATTCTTCTCGGGAGGCGAGCGACTCATGTCTATAGATGGTGGACTTAACAAAGGACTTGTTAGGAAATTATTTAACATAATAAGAAGAAATGGAATAACCTAACAGAAAAACAATATAATATAACCGAAAAAAAGTAAAGAGCAAAACAGGAAGAGCAAAAGAACGATAAAACAGACTGAACATCTGGRAATAAATAGAAAAGGAGACAGAATTGTAATATAGATAGTGTGAAAAATCAAAATAAATCACTATGGGTTAAAGATCAAGAGCTCTGTAGAAAAGTATTAATATTGATCCAGAAGACTCTAGTGTAGTAGTGACAAGCAGGCGACAATAGTGAATACACAGTTTTGAAATTTGGGAAGCTGAAGAGAAGGATTATRTTATTAAGAAGGAGTGGGCATTTCATCTACAAGATTTAGAAGAAAGAATTTTGAAAAGGCAAGCTAGACAATCAACTGACTGTAATACTGATGCAGTATTTGAAACGAAATCGTATATCAGTGTTGCTTGATCTTTATAAAACCTCAAACTTCAGTAATAATAAAACATGGGGGCTCCTCAATTTTGTCAGTTCCAAAGATGGTGATGCCCTAAATTTTATTATGGGAAAAGTGTCTTCTAAAATTTTTTTTTATTATATATAAAAAAGTTTCTCATCAGTCCCTCCTTACAAGTTTTTGGTCACATTCCCTTAGATCAGCTGTTATTACTGTTATTGTTTTGGTGACTTGCTGTATTCAGGTTCCGGGCGATAATCGTCTTGTTTACAATTGAAACATCCAATATACAAGGGCATTACAGCGGAAATCGTTGCATAGCGACCTCTTCGTTTTGAAGTTTGTCTGGATTTTGTTCTTTCTTTTAATCTGAGGGGCGGAGCTTTTCGAAAACTCGTTCAATCATTGGCTGATTAGTATCAAGCTCCGACCCCAAGTCGCAGAAAAACCAAAATCCCAACTATTTTCTTTGAACATTGAAGTCGCGATGGAACGGTTTCTGCTGTAAAGAAGGTTTGGTAGAAATGTCGCAGCAGAGATTTTCATTTTTGGGGTTAAATTAAACTATATTAAAAAAAATATTCTTCTGCATTAGAAAGTTATTCATTTTATAACCAACGTCTACACTAACATTTATCAAACGCGCGTTCGGCTTTATAATTGATTCTGACAGTCATATGTTTTGATGTCCAGATGAGATGTAATTTCGCTAATCGTTCTAAGAGAAATTCAAAGAGAAATTCAAAAGATCTTGGTCAAAATTTCAGAGCAGAAATCATCGGTCACTTTTTGCTATTAAAATGTGACAAAAAGAGCGCAGCAGATCATAATATGCTAAAATTTGATGCAGCGAGTAGGATGACAAAAATGTTGCTAAAAATTCCCAGCACAACAATCAATGCAAAGGCAGTGCGTTTGGCAATTTTCTCAAGATCAGTGTCTGGTTCCCGATACTTGCAGTAGCTGTGGATCGAATTGTTTGAGTGTTTTTTTTTTCAAGTCATCCATCCTTGTGTAGTAATATCTGACCGTTGCCTGTGAAATAATTCAAATAATCACATAAAGTTTGATTTTTTTATACGATTCATTATTGTTTTCAGGTGTTTGGATTGGTTGAAAATATATGAATATAATCTACGATGTCAAAATGAATAACAATGCCCACCGTCAGATGGCTCACTTAAAAAAGGAGAATTATATCACAAGTAAAGTTTTTTAAAAAGTAAAGTAAAGTAAAGTAAGTAAAGTTTTTTATTAAAATAATTCACGATGGAGTTTGTGGCAGTAACAGTAAGAGACCTTTGTGTAGAAACGCAAAGAAATAAAAACTTCTACCTACTTTGTGTCAGAAAATTCATTCTAAAGTCAATTTCTACACTTGTTTTGATTAAAAGTTCGGCTTCCCAAGTAATTAAATCAGTTGTAAATACAATAGTTTTGATGGCCAGATGTATTCAGGTTTCGATAATCGTTCTGTTTTCGACTGAAATATCAAAACAGAAATATATTAAAAAGATCTCGAAGGAAAATTTCACAGAAGAGATCGTCTGTAATTACTGCTTGTTGTTAAACTAAACCGTAAAAAGGGGAGTAGATTATAAGCTATCAAAAAAAATTTCAAAGCAACTCAAATAGAGGAAAAAGTTTTGAAAACAATATCCAG